TTTTTTTTTGGTCATTCTGTCTGTACCTAAGCACTGTAGTTTTAGTTACATATTTCCAAACAGTATAACGGCATATTTCCAGGCATGGTTTGACAAAGGGAAAGAATATTAGAAATTGAGACCCTCCTAAAAAGTCTAGGATGTGTAAGCTCCTCACCAAAGCATTAGTGTCATTATTAGTAATGGCCAGTGTGACTATTAAGAATGTTTGATGGACCATCAGCTGCCTCTTTCCTATAAGTGAGCTTAAGAACCGGGCCTTTGCAGGAGTTCCACTGTTAGATTTTTCTCTCTGGTCCTTAGCTCTAAGTTCTCTTTGCAGAGGAGGTAGAATCAGGGTGCAAAAATATAAGAACAAGATAACCTGTATTTTTCCCAATATTTTAATGGGATTTCAAGAACTGTTTCACATTTGAAATCTGAACACGATTCAACTAAAATATGGTTTGGGTTTTATTTTTTGTTAGTAAACAAAATAAATTTGTATGTACTTATGTGTGATGTATGATTTATTCACATGCATTATCTGTGTAATATATATGTATATATGTGTATATATGTATATATATATATATATATGAATCATTAGTTTTTAAACCACAGAGACTGTATTTCTAATGAACTAGTTTTCTAGTTAAAAATAAGGGCAAAGAAATCCCATTTACCCATATATACTAATGTTTATAAAACGCCACATGATGAATATTTTTAGAAGCAATCTCCTAAGAGCCCAAATTAGAAAACTTAAATAAAGCACAGTCCTTCTAAAATGGGGCTGTGACTTGGGAACTGCTCCTCCCCCAATCATTTAAACTAGTTAAATAGTTATAGTCTGCTTCAAGAGAATTGGATGGTTCTTACCAATTTTACATCATTTCAACATTTATTTGAATGCTTCCTGTGTGCCAGAGACTGCTATACACTTTACATGTGTCATTTCACTTGTTGGCCGTAGAAACGATGGATGAAAGCAGCAGTGTCCCTTACAGGAAAGAAAACTGAGATTAGGAGAGGGGGAAAAAAAATGTTTTGCCTAAGGTCACGCTGCAAGTGTGTGACCTGGACTTGAACTTCACAGCCTTGCTTCTTAACCACTATTGCGAAATCAGAGACTGAAATCTTCCTCTTTATTGCTTAACTATACCTGGACCGAAGGAGCTGCTAACTCTGCTAGTTAGTTCTTGTCGGGAAGAGAAGCACTGACCAGCTGTGGAAACCACAGCAAGGAAACCAAAAATGAAAGTACCCAAGTGGGCTGGAGGACTTGGAAGAGGGAGACCTGAGTTTGCACTTGGCTCAGTTACTTAGCTCCTATCACTTTCTCCAGAAAGCCTGTCCCTACCACCTCCTCCTCTTGTTTGTCTCTATTAGAATGCTGAACTCGCTGCAATAGGCACCGTCTTGGAATGATTCTAAGGCGCACATCATTTTTATTTTAAGTGGAATCCTTATGCATCTTCTCGTAAAATTAATTGGCAGCATTCCTCCTTAATTCTCGGTGCCTAAAATAAGGATGTGACTTATGGTGGCATGTTAGATTTGACCGAATGCAGTACAGTGGGGCCTTGACTTACGAGTTTAATTCGTTCCGAGACCGAGCTCGTTAAGGAGCTCGTTAACTCAAATTACTCTGTCAACTCAATGCAAAAAATAGTCGGGACACTCGTAAGTCAAGGCCCCACTGTATTTGTTTTACATGTGTTCCCAAGAAAATGTTTACATCTTCCCCATGGTTTTAAATACCAGGTATAGACAATGATTTTCCAGTTTCTAGTCCAGTATTCTTTTATGCTCCAGTCCTATAGAATTTCCCTTGCTGTCTCCGGGGTCAAAGATTCTATGTCTACTTTCCAAGTCAGCTTGTCTTCTAGTGTTTCCCTCACCTCAGAAAACGGCATCGACATTAGTACATTTGTGAACTAAAAAGTCACAAGTTCGGACTCCGGGGTTTGAATCCCAGTTCCACCCCATACAGACCAGTGTTGTGAACACACGGTGAAGCGAGTCACCGTGCTCCTCATCGGTAACGTGGGCAGCGTTATCACCCTGCCTCTGAGGAATGATCGTGAGGACAACAAAACATCGAGTGAATGCTAGCTGCCCCTGACCGTCATATGTATCTGTGACCTCTCTGCTTACTCTGCACATGTAATTAATTCGTCATCACACCCTCTGGTAGGTAGATCCTTCAGAGTATCTCAGATCCCTCCACTTTCATCTTGTTGCCACTTCTCCGGTTCAAGCCCCTATTTTTCTTGCCTGTGGTAACTAATCTTGTAGCTTCTACTC